AAAATATAAATTCATCTCCCCTTGTACGTCTCCTGAATAGTTTTATAGTTTTATTTTAAGCTAATTATGTTCTATAAGATAGGATTAATATGAATTAATATTAATATCCTGTTGATATACGCAACAAGACTTTGGTTAATTTCAATCGAATAGGCCATTCGATATTTGACTATATAGAGCGGCAGCATAGTACGTCGCCGATATTTTATAATTTCATATATTGTCAGCAGGATGACGTTTTAAGGCCGCAAAGCTGTGTAGCCGCTTTAGATCTTTGGCCTTATTACACTAATGAGGAATTAGCCCAAGGTCCTCCGTACGATCTCGAAGTAACCAATGCCGACGATGAACTCGACTTATCCGAATTAAAGGGCAAACGCATAGTGATTAGTGCTGGCTACGATAATATTGAAAAATCGAATCCAAATGCGTTCATTTGCCTGCTGAGTGAAGTGAAGCAAGCTGAAACGGAGCGCGGTCTTTTGCCGCCAAAATGGCAGCAAATATGGGCTAGTCTAGAGGTACCGAAAACTATTCGTCTCGAGCGTAAATCTTCGCTAAGCAGCATTTTCTATCATGGAAATTGCAACATAAACGTTCCACATTGGAAATTATAATGAAGGGACGATTAACTGGCTATCAAGATAAATTTTTTCATCCTCATCGATTTGAGAAGCATCCTTACACAACACCCACCAATTGCAATCACTGTACAAAGCTGCTATGGGGTCCGGTCGGTTATGTTGCATGGACTGCGGTAATTCGTATCACGAAAAATGTACTGAACTGTCGTTGAAAAATTGTACGAAATATAAGGCTGTAGAAGGTGTGGCGCCGCCCAACGTCAATATATCACAAGGTGATACCTCAAGTATAGCTTCTAGCGCGGCAACAACAGCCCGCACATCCAGTCATCATTTTTACAATCAATTCAGTAGTAATGTGGCCGAGAATCGCACCCATGAGGGGTAAGAAGAAATAATAGATTTTGAGAATATTTGATTAAAAATTACTTTTTTAATTATATAATTTTAGGCATTTGTATAAACGCGGTGCATTATTGAAAAACTGGAAACAGCGTTGGTTTGTATTGGATTCCATTAAACATCAGCTGCGTTATTATGATTCCGTGGAAGATTCCACTTGTAAGGGCATTATAGGTAATGTAGATTCCTTATGGATAGTACTATTAATGGCAACTAATTCAAGCAGAGAAAACATTTTCAGGACATAGGCACTGTTGATCAAATTCAATTGACCAAACCCAGTGGACGATCATTTGAATCTGTAACTGTAAAACAAACCACGATTTTTTAAATCTGCCCCACGAAGATTTCAACAATTCTCGTTCATAGAAAAACATTCTTTAGACAAATAGATAGGATTGTTTCCATAGGTTATTTTCAGCAATTTTTGTTAATACCGATGGGGATATAGTCTTGGTTTTTTTTCTTTTTCATAATATGTGTAACACCCAAAATGAACGTTTAGAGAACCAATATAGTATGTATATTCTCGGCGCCAAATTCTGAACTGATTAAGCCATATCTGTCCGTCTGTATGTCTCTGTAGTGCCTGTATTTGGCACACTCCTGGTTGTAGAAATGATGATATCAACTTTATATTTGGTAAAGATATTTACAGTTTTTGCACACAAAGATGATTGGAATGAAAATGGGCCAACGTTGTCAGAGCAGCAGACCACAGTGGAGCGTACACTGCACGCAACCCTGTTTTTCTTAACAAAAATTTTTGGCTTTTCGCTTGTTACTCAGAAATTGTGAAAGTTGGACTGTTGGCAGTATCCACCGCACTAATCTCCTAGGCCTTATGATACATTTGTTACTGACTGGCAAACACTGGGTGCTGTAAATACAGCAAAATGAAGGTAATTGGAACAATGTATAAATATATTTATAGATTACTAATTTTCCTTCTATTTCAGAATACAAAAGGTCCACCATACGAAGACGTACAGGTAGAAGTCGTGCTTTAAATACATACATACAAATAAAGGTAATTCAAACTGTGTATAAATATATTTATAAATCAGTTGTTTGTAACTTACATTTACATTTTTTTCTTTAGATTAAAGATGTCCACCCTCAAAATGAAATCAATGGAAAATCGGGTTTGGTAAAAGGTAAATCAAATAATATAGAAATGTATTGGTGTATTTGTAACTCATGTTCAAATTTTTATATTAAGATTAAAGAAGTCCGCCCGCAAAATTAAGTCCAACTGTTCGCTCATCGCCTCATCGTAATGTAAGATTCGCTGCATACCAAAGGTAAGTTTGCATTTACCCTTATTCTTATTTATAATTTATCTACTTACTTCTACTTCTTTTTTAGTTTAAAAAGCAAGCATACGCCTCCACTTATACCTTCAGCCATTTAAAACAATTGGCAGCGCGCCTATCGCGGTACCCCAAGACTGGTGTGGAAAACCGTGAAACTTAATCGTTTATTAAACACAAATTTCTTGAATGAAAGTATTAAGTTTGGGGTCAAGAAAGAAAGAAGCAATTATTTGTCAAAAACAATATCTAAGTTAACTTACCGGTAATACCTCGTATTTAATTTTAAAATATTGTTTTAAAGGTATTGTAGAAAATTCCAAAATTTCCAAGAATATTGCTGAAACACTATTTTGGTTTTCTAAAATGAATCAAACGGATTGATCCAAAATAAACTGTTTACTAGATAGTGATTATATAATGATTAGTCTATTGACAATTACATCGTAATCGTCGAGAACGTTTAAACGATTGGTGTGCTATTCGCCCCGAATCCGATTTTAGATTGTTACCGCTGCGTGTAAACAAATAATTAACTTTAACTAGGAACAGAAATATTTAGTAGAAGAAAGAATAAATTGAAAAAAAAGTTATAAAGGACCAGCAATTTCCAAAATGAGAGTAAAACACCCGCGTGTGTATTACATTGTTGATAATGTTAACATAATGAAAAGATAATAAAACTATTATATATAAATATAAATTACATATATATATATATATATGTAGTCACACGTAGCGTTACCGATATAATAATAAAATAAAATTAACAATAATTACTTGGCTTGTCATGTTAAATATGAATTCATTCTTCTCAAAATTTTATTGTGAATTGTAATGAGTCACGAACAATATGACGCTTTTTTTTTAATAAGGTTTTTTAATTCTATAATTACAAAAGAAGATAAATTTTTATCAGGCGGCTAGGATTTCGGGCAAAACGAACTTTACCGCAACTTGGTTTTTAACTGCTAAAACTACATGCATATGTAACCAACGACCAGGCAAATGTTTTGCCAATAATCGAGATGAGGGATACGATGAGGGTGTTTTAAATTTCACTCAGATCTCATTTTTAAATATTATAAGCTACGCACTCGCTTCCAACTCTTGCTGTAATTTTTTTCTTTTTTTACAGAACACTTTCTCTAACGGAGAGTATTCGTTAATCCGCTTAAAATGACGGACGACTTTTATCTATTGTGCCGGTTTTGTCTTAGCACATTTGGAGGCGCCTTGAAAATTATCAATCAGACCCAACTGCAAACGACAGCAGCAAAAGCTGCTGTTATTAGTTCAGGCTTAAAACCTGAACAAATTGAATTGGTCGTTGGTCATGTTATGCCGGTAAGGAATTTATATTATCCAATAAAGTGCCGAACAACACGCACAATTTGTTAAACTAAACCAATTTTTAAGCGGGTTAAGTAACAACGTCTGGAAACTAAATTTGCCAGCGGGAACGTAATGTTTTGAAACTAGTCAACACCTCCGGTCCAACCTTTTGCCCGGGTTAAACTTAATCAAGGAACTGAAAGCAGTCAATTACATCTTTTAGAATTATTTTTTACTAAATAAACTTCTTCTTGAGCAGTTTTTTACTGGTATCTTCTTAAGTCTACATCTAGTGATGGTGCGTTCCTACCTCGGCATGTTAATCTTCAATGTGGGGTTCCAATTGAGAAACCAGCTTTGGCTGTGAATCGTCTTTGTGGGTCCGGCTTTCAAGCTACTGTTAACGGAGCACAAGCTATATTACTTGGCAGTGCAAAACTCTTACTGGTGGTGTGGATAATATGTCGCAAGCTCCTTTCATGGCACTGTACAACCCTTGGAGCCTAGGCAAACCGTTACCGCCTTTAAAGTTTAACTAAATGTTTAACCTTGCTTAGTTACTTTCGCAGCGCCGTAAACAAGGGCTTTTATAATACGTCAAAAGTAGACAAACAATTTTTACCGCATAGCAATAACAAAGCGAAGGAAACGAAACGTTCCCAAATGCAATGATTTGAAATGAAAACACTATATTTGTTCCCAAATATCTAGTTAGTGAATACTTAACAAAGCTTATGAATATCATTATCGGCTTTTGCCTTTTTCCCTCAACTAAACAAAATTTCATCTCCCTTACGAGGATTTTCAAAACACTCCAAGTAAAGTAAAGTATTTAAAGTATTTAAGAGGAAGAGAAAAAGTTGAAAGCAAGCAACAGTTGCTTGTTCCTCTGTCGCAAAGACTAAACACATTCTTGCTAAAAATGCTTCATTCAACGTAATATATTATGTAATAGGAGAAACATTTGGCAAATTGGAAAAATACACTGCCCGTCCCTATGAAATGGATTCATGTAAGATGGGTTTATATAGCATAGGGGAAAAATTTTAACAGTGTTCGTGTAGCTCGCTAAAAGAGATTCAACTAATATGGTAAAAGAAGGAGACAGATTTACGATTGTAAAGAAGCGCTTCCTTACGGAATACAAGTCCGTCGGCCTGAAATAGCTACCCACAGCGAAGCACTCGTCAGTCCGATCTGTCCGTCTGATTGGATGAAGAAAAACATGAACAACTTCCTCCAGTATAAATATAAGAAACTATGTACAAACCTGTATAAACGTATAAATATAAGAAATTATGTACAAACCTGTACAAAAGCTTGAATATAAGAAATGACGCACAAACCACGAATATAAGAAATTATGTCCAAACCTGTATAAAAGCACGAATACAAGAAATTATGTTCAAACCTGTATAAAAGTATAAATATAAGAAACTATGTACAAAGCCTTAGAACCCAACCTGTATAAAAACATAAGTATAAGAACACAACCTGCACCCGACTTATGTAAATCAGTAAGATCGAATCGGTACGAATGCAGTAGGATACATGTGCACTCACATGAACACAAACATACACACAAATGTATAGCACCGTTAGGGCACATGAAATCTCCGTAGGTAGGAAAATAAGGGATAAGCATATACATGCAAAACGAATAGACTTTAGCAAAAGTCTCTATGCTGTAAAATGCTTAAACACATTGCACAGAATGTATAGTACTGTTAGGACCTATGAAATCTTCAAAGCTGTTAGGGCAAACAAAACATACAGAAATGAACGTAGGAAGAAAAATAAGGGATAAGCACATACAAGCATGCAAAATGCAAGACTTTAGCACTACGCAAAAGTCTCTATGCTGTAAAAAGCACAACCACCTGCAAAGTGTATAAACTGCAGAAAACATTGCATAGCACCGTTAGGTCATATGAGACAATAGAATAGGCACACAATAAGATAACGTGTTTACAAGCATGGAATAGGTTGTGTACAAACAGCAAGAATACGCACGCAAATAGGAAATACATATAGAAATTCGGTAGAAAATCTGTACAATATATGATCATACAAAACATACAGGAATAAACTCTCAGGCATAAAAGGGCATAACACATATGAACATATATCATTGCACACACGCATAAACACACAAGAACAGAAAAATACACCTGTTGGTATAAAACCTATAGAAACCTATTTGAACACATATTTGAAGAAAAACAAGTACCTGCATGGTATAAATCACGCGATTTGGTACCTGGGTACGTGTTGAGTAGCACTTGATCAAACATAGCAGTAAGCTAGTTGTTAAGCAATAAGTTGATATTAAGTTTTGTACAAGTCGTTCATACAAGTCGTAACTGAGGTTGTGACAGTAGCCAACCCCAGTTAAGCCTACGTATAAGTAGTATACCTTCAAACACAGAACATGTTGGCAATGGGACAAGCGAGCGAGACTCTGGTTATAAAAGAGCAGCACATCGCACAGAATCGTTCAGTTTGGTGTCATAGCCGTCTAAGGTAAGTGCCCACGGACAATTTGACGAATTGACCATTATGAAGAGTTTTTTTGTTGACTTTACGGATATGGGATGTGCTGGTTCAGGTTTAATCGCCATCCCTGAAGGGCCTTTTA